CCCCAAAACCCCAAAACCCCAAAACCCCAAAACCCCAGTTATTTTATTTCATGTTGAAACCCCAAATATAATTCCCAGATTTAATTTGATTTTTAATTAGGAAATAAAAATCAAATATGAAGTGAACTCTTATTTAGCATCTTGGCCTACATGGGAGCTTGTTTGAGGAGTGGTAGGAAACATAATACTTGAACTAGCTCTAGTCTTATTAGAAGCAGACCCTTCCTCATAATCTTTATACTTTACTGGCTGCATTGGGGATTGGTATTTAAAGCTACCATGCTTTTTGCCTTCTTTCCAAGTACCAGAGATAGTGTCTCCTGTGGCAAATTTGATGACCCCTTCACCATGCATTGCACCATCCTTGAAATTTCCCTCATAGACTTTGTTGCCACCTTTGTCAAATTTATAGACACCGTAGCCATTGATGACGGAATCACTGAAGGTACCTTCATAGCTTTTCCCATCAGAGAAGTGCAAGGTACCTTTTCCATTGTGGTTGCTGTTCCTATACTCGCCTTTGTACTTCTCTCCATTTGGATAGAGGATCTCAGCTTCACCTTCGTACTCGTTCATGCAGAACCCTCCTTTGTAATAGGAACCATCTGGGAAAAATTCTTGCCCATTCCCGTGCTTGTAATCTTCATGCCATTGACCAATATATGTGACACCCGAGGAGGATCTAAATTCACCATTGCCATGTCTTTTGCCTTCCTTCCACTGGCCTCTATAGTAGCTTCCCTCAGGGTAGATTAGACGACCCTGGCCATGAGGGAGGTTATTGACCCAGAACCCCTCGTAGAGGCTTCCTGTTTGAAAAAGGGCGGCTCCCTTGCCTTGGAAGCAGTTCTTCTCAATGTGAACTTCACCAATATAATATCCCTGCTTGTTTACTAACTCAATGGAGTTCATTTTTGAGCCGGTGCTGATGAATGAATCTGAGCTTCCAAAGCTAATTAGCTTAGCTATAAAACTATTTGTGCAGAGATACTTACTAAATCAACAAATATTTTTGTTTGCTGGAACATTCCTTACATAAAACTCGTGCATTAGGAGCCTTTTATGAGTATCCCTAACTGTATCTGATAGCTTAACTCTGAGGAGATTCCAATACCTATAAAATGGTATACAAAATACCTGGGCTGCATTAATTTCCTGCTTCGATTATTTATACTTCTCATAAAAGATGACATCTTCTTTTGCCCAGTATGAGGTCTTAGAGTACTTCCCAATGCCTAAAGAAAGTCAAATCTGCGCTCGTTTCTTACTAATTTTAGCAGGAAAGCTGATTTCTAAGTATGGGCTTACTATGCCTCGGGATGACCTCGATCTCATCCTCTTTGTTGCATCAGTCAGATAAGTTACCCATCTTTGCGAAGTTATTAAACTTTTTATTCCAATTACTAGAAGATATCATGGGGTTTTGGGGTTTTGGGGTTTTGGGGTTTTGGGGTTTTGGGGTTTTGGGG